ATCTATCTATCTATCTATCTATCTATCTATCTATCTATCTATCTATCCTATCATCTTTTGTATTTCTTATCCACCCGTGTCCTTCAGAAGATTGGAAAAGTCATTTATGTAGACAAAGTCCAATTTCACCAACTTCCTCTTTACCTTTAACATTACCGGCCTTTCTTCATCTTTGTCGATTGGGATGCTAGTGCTGGTCACCCAAGTGTTGGTGCAAAGATGCCTCAGCCGAACATATGAATTCCTAAATAGAAACCAGAGGAATCAGGAAATGAACTTTAAACCACCGGAGCAGATCCTAGATTCTCTACTCAACTCTGAAGGAATTGACAGGGATTGCTGTGGAAACTCATTCAATTAGATTGTCTCTGGAGAGGAATAGCAGGATACAGAAATATAAAATGATACCCACACAAATGTGTCCATTGACATCAAAGAGTAATTGATTTTTTTCGATTCAATGAATTAACAAAATCACAACTTAGACCAGAATTAAATGTTCTCATGCATAAAAGAAGGATGTACAGGATGAGATCTCGGCACCATAAAGTTTCTCCAAAAGTTATGAGTGAATTATAATTAAGTTGTCTTCAAGTTATGATCAAGTCCTGGTGATTGTACAGAAACCTGCATGTAGGTTTTCGGATTCACATAAAGTGATTTTTCTTTCTTTCATTCATTCTTTCTTTCCTTCCTTTTCCTTCCTTTCTTTTTCTTTCTTTCTTTCCTTCCTTCCTTCTCCTTCCTTCCTCTTCTGTTTCTTTCTTTCTTTCTTTTTCTGTCTTCCCTTCCTTCCTTCCTTCCTTCCTTTCTTTCCTTCCCTTTTCTTTCTTTTTTCCTTCCTTCCTCTTTCCTTCTCTTTCTGTCTTCCATTCCTTCCTTCCTTTTCTTTCTTTCCTTCCTTCCTTCTTCTATTTATTTATTTCCTTTTCTTTCCTTCCTTCCTTTCTCTCTCTCTCCCTCTCTCTCTCTCTTCCTTTCTAGAAGGATGTTCTACTTCTCATTCTAGTCTAAGGTTGGGGTTTCCTACAATTCCAACCCAACCACTTTCAAGATCTGATGCTCCTTAGCTTTCCCAGATATGGCTAAAATAATCTTCTACTTGAGGTCAGCTCATGGACATATCCATATGTTTTTTTCTTGATTATTATACAGAAATGGCTTGATTGCCTTCTTCTGGAATGGGTTTTTGGCTTTCCATTCCAGCCTACCATTTGGGATCTTCCTGGGGTCTCCTACGCAGGAGACTCCAGCAACTAGATCCACCACTAACTAGACCCACCAAGGAGAAAATGTGTAGGTATCTTGTAGACAAGTTGCACCTCTCCAACCTACAATGCCAAAGGGGCATCTAGGAATAACCCAAAGTCTTGGCTTCAACCCAAGATGACTTCTTGAATTTCAGATGGAATCTCTGTTTGGAAGAACCTGAGATCAAGAGATGGACAGGTACAAAGGTGGAAATACACCCAAATATACATTTGATTTCTGTTTCCCAATAGTACCTTGGAACCAGACAGTCAGCCCGTTGCAAGGTGGTTGCGTCCAGTTCAAAAAGAGAGGCAATGTCATTTCCATGAGGAACAGAGACGAGGGTGTACATAATCTTCTCTCCTGCCTGTCGTTTCTTCTTCAAAGTTAGAAGATCGTTGTCTTTCTGCTGAGGTGGAAGAGGAGTATCACTTGGTTTGTCTAGGAGCTGGCTGTCTATAGAGATTCTCCGTCATCCAGGCAGGGGTGGGTTTCCAAATTTTTTCCTACTGGTTTTATGTGCACACGCACTTCACACGCACATGCAGCGCTCAAATACTGACCTCTGTCAAGGCTGGTGAGCTGCCTGGAGTGTTTTGAAGCTCAGCTGAAATAGCACGAATCAACTGAGCTTCATGTGTGCATGTGGCACAAATACGAGAGCTCTGTCAATCTGGTGAGCTGCCTGGAGTGTTTTGAAGCTCAGCTGAGGCACAGAAATAGCACGAATCAGCTGAGCTTCACGTGTTGCACGGCACAAATACAGGAGCTCTGTCAACCTGGAGTGTTTTGAAGCTCAGCTGAGGCGCAGAAGTAGCGTGAATCAACTGAGCATCAACACGTGTGCTGCACAAATATGGAGTTCTGTCAACCTGGTGAGCTGGCCAGAGTGTTTTGAAGCTCAGCTGAGACGCGGCAATCTGCTCTGCCATGCAAATTAGCTGAGGTAAAAAGCAAGGAAATATAGGACAGGTAACAGCAGGGGTGGGTGGGCGGGGCCAGCCGGGGGATGATATTTGCTGGTTCTCCAAACCAGTTAAAATTTTCACTACCGGTATGCCAGAACCAGTCCAAACTGGCTGAATACCACCTCTGCATCCAGGTCATAATTGTCCCCTTTTTCAGGAGGTAACTGGACTTCCTTGTTTTTCTTTCTAAAGAAGTTTCGCTTCTCATCCAAGAAGCTTCTTCAGCTCTGACTATCTATCATTCCCCACTATCCTGTCAGAGCTGAAGAAGCTTCTTGGATGAGACGTGAAAGGTCTTTAAAAAAGAAAAACAAGTTGGCTCCTGGAAAAAAAAAAAAACACCTTTGGGACTTCTCACTATTCTATTTGAGGAGGATCTCACAGGGGAACGTTTCTTTCTTTCTGGCCTCCTCCCCTGCAGAAAGCTCCAGAGTTTCTCAACGTTGGCAACTTGGAGGTGTGTGTGGACATCGACTTCCAGAATTCTCCAGGTTGCTTTGCAACCTGAAAGTGGGTCATGTGTGTGAGGGCTCTGGAAGCCAGCAGATTAAAATCATAGATGCTCTCTCACTTTCCAATAGTCTTTCCCCATTGGGAAATGGCACATAATCTGGGAAATGCTGGGAATGCTGGGAAATGGCACATAATCCTCCCGTCAACTCGTAAAGCATCCCTATGCCCGTTTTCAAGTTGCCATAAGCAGGAGAGGGGGAAATGTGAAGGAGCAGTATGGCAAATAAAACTAGAAGTACATTCCACGCTTATCTTACAAAGATTGTAGCCTAAGCTACCGGATCTTCTGCCCACGAAAATCTTTCATTGGAGAATGTGATTGATGACACCCAGCCCATGAATGTGCTTCACTGGAGAATCTGATTTATGACACTCCCAGGGGGGGAGGAGGGAAACAAGGTGACAGGTGACCATAAATTATGTGTGGCAGAGTTGGCTTCATAGGGGTCAATGCCAACATGTTGCTCCTAATAAATCTTTTGGATTCTTTTGAAGCTGGGCTCAAGGCCCATGATTTAATTAGGGCAATCACCGGAAACCTGACACCTCTTTTGTGATTGTGTCTTTTTCGAGTTAATACTTTTTGTTAGTTTATCGAAGTATAAAATAGAAAGAAAGAAAAAAAACATGGAAAAGTAAGAGAGAGGAAGGGGAAAAGAGGGAGGGATAGTGTAATAGGAGGACGGGGGAAGGAAAAAGGCACCAATTTCTGACTCTCTTTGGCACAGTCAAAGGTAGCAACATTAGAACTACAACTTTTTGCTTTTACACAACAGTATGTACAAGCCATTTCTTTAACAATAAGCCTGTGTAGTTTACGAAAACAGAATTTAAGCTTCATTTTTATTTATTTTTCTCATTGCAAACGCAAAATCCGAAAGCAATTTCAAACTAGAGACAAAATTAAATATAATGTCTTATGTTTGGTCATGATATCTAGGATTGTGTCTTAAAATTTATGATCTATGACTTATCCCTTTGTTGCTTGTATGTACACTGAGAGCTTCTGCACCAGAGACGAATTTCTTGTGTGACCAATCACATTTGGCCAATAAAGAATACAGTAGCCTTCAACTTACCACAGTTCGTTTAGTGACTGTTTTGAAAGTTACTATGGCACTGAAAAAGAACCGTTTTTCACACTTATGACCGTTGCAACATCCCTGCGGTCAAAATTCATACGCTAGGCAACTGCATCACAATTATGACGGTCGCAGTGGCCGGGGTTACGTGATCGATCCCCTTTTGCAACCTTCTGACAAGCTAAGTCAATGGGGAATCCAGATTCACTTAAGAACGGTACTACTAACCGTGATTCACTTAAGAATGGTGGAAAGAAAAGGTCCTAAAATGAAGCACAACTCAACTGTCTCACTTCACCAGGTAAATTTTGGGCTCCATTCCTGATCGTAAGTCGAGGACCATCTGCAATTGTCCTCCTGGCTCTTGAACTTTACATGACAGACCTTTCCCAATGCTGACTCATGCATGAGTCATCATCGCCTTTTCAGTGAGTCATTTGTTGTATGGAGCAGAAAGAACAGGTTGGAAAGAGGATTGAGAGGAGGAGAAGGGAGGAGAAGAGGACAAGAGAGAAGAACATTGTGTCTTCAGAAGCTATTTGGATGCTTCTTGCCTTGACCCCGACCTGAGGAGAACCACCAAAATAAGAAACCAGTGGAATAAATCTCTCCATGTCCAGATGCTACATGAGTTGATTTAATTCCTGCTCAATTGCAGGCATGTTCCTCCAGAGAAGCGGGCCAACAACCGAAAACACTAAAGTTGGTTTTTTATTCATCTCTCTTTCTTGCCTTTTGTAACCAAGCCGGTTCCTACTGAATTCAGGCCAAAAAACCCAACCCCTTGGATGACATAAACTGAAATCCATGGAGTCTTTGGTGCTCTCTGAGCTCGGTTGTTTTCTTGCAACCACGTAAACAATACCTTGGTCAAGGAACTACCAGCTCAGGCAAATAATCCAATAGTAAGTGATAGCCTAATCCACACACACAAGACACACGCACACATAACACTGACAGGGAAAGACATCAGTATATTAACAGAGAGTCCCTTCAGTATACATCAGTATATAAACAGTCCCTTCTAGCACTGATGATGTTACCTAGTTTGGTCATGAAACATTGGCAAGAAAGCCATCAGGCTTCAGAGAACCCCAAGGAGCCCACAGCCCTGCTCCCCATCCTCTTCCACACTCCTTCTCCTCCACTCCATCTAACGCCATTTTCTTTTAGCACTGATGCTGTTACCTAGTTGGGTCATGAAACGCCTGCAAGCAAAAGCACCAAGCTCAGAGAGCACCAAGGAGCACCATAGTCGTCTCTACTCTCCAACAACCTTCCTCCCTTCTCTTTCCTCCCTCCTTCCTCCTCCCCTTCCTCCCCTTCTTCTCCTCCACTCTGTAATCCCACTCCCTAGTAGCATTGATGATGTTCCCTAGTTGGGTTATGAAACATCTGTAAGAAAAAAACCAGGCTCAGAGAGCACCAAGAGTACCCTATTCCTCCTCCTCCTCTTCCTCCATCTCCTCCTCCTCTCACACTCATTCTAGCACCAATGCTGTTACCTAGTTGGGTCATGAAACGTCTGCAAGAAAAGAACCAAGCTCAGAGAGCACCAAGAGTTCCATATCCCTCCTCCTCTTCTTCATCCTCCCTTTAGCACCAGTGCTGGTCCCTAATTGGATCATGAAATGTCTCCAAGCAAAAGAGCACCAAGGACCCCACAAGTATTGTCTTCTATTGGTACAAACTGAATTGTGAATTGAGGAAGTCCCTTTGTCCATCAAGCTCTACCTGAAAGATGCTTGGAAGATGAACCAATTGCCATACCTCACTGTGTTTGTGAGATGCCGTGTAACACTTGAGGATCTTGCCCTGATACCCATTCAACCCTATGCTTTCACACCCATTGCTCTCCCCAAAATGCTAAAACAGAGTTGGACAACCAAGAAGTTTAAATTGCCGCCTGGTTTTGTGGCAAAAAAGAAAAGTTGAACATTTGTTTTCAATACTCAAATAGCAGAGCTTTTGTAAGAAGATGGCACAGGGAAAGGTTTTACCACATTTCATTTAAAGGAGCTGGACTCACCAGAATCTTTTCCCCATTGCAGACATCTGGATAATGAGGATTAAGCTGCAAAAGAATACTTTCATTAGCATTTTTAGGACTGGTTTTTAACAGCTGGTGTTTAAAATGAGTTTGTAGACTTGAATTCGAAAGGTAGAGAAATGTGCCAACTACAACCAGATTTCTGGGGTCCTTGGTGATCTCCGAGCTTGGAGCTTTTCTTGCAGACGTTTCGTTACCCTACTAGGTAATCTCATCAGTGCTAGTAAGGGAGTGGGATTTGCTGGTTGTTTATATACTAATGGCTTGCCTTGTCAGTATCGGTGAGAGTGTTCTTAGTGCTTTCATGACCAAGCTAAGGCCAAAAATGCTAGAAAATTCTTTGAAGCCTGGCACTCAAACATATCAGCCATCAACAAGCACGCAGAGTTAAATAACATCTACATGCCATTCAAAAGAGACAATCAGAAAGTTAAAATTCCCAAATCAATGAACTATCAACTCAGACAAGCTAACAATAAATAATAACCTAATCAAAGAGCCACCAAGGAAAAAACCACACTCCCACCAACATTGATAGAGCAAGTCACTAGCATATAAAAGGAGGGTAAACCCTACCTTCTTCTAGCACTGAGGATATTACCTAGTTGGGTAATGAAATGTCTGCAAGAAAATCACCAGGCTCAGAGAGCATCAAGGACCCTTCTTCTATTGGGATAAAGCTTCACAATTTTTTTTACTTGCCGTGTATTTTCCCCACAATAATCCGGCGATGTGAGTGGGCTTTCACAAGGAAGGAAGGAAGGAAGGGAGGAAGGGAGGGAGGGAGGGAGGAAAGAAGGAAGGAGAATGGAGGAGGAAGAAGAAAGGGAAAGGAAGCCGAAGGAAAGGAAAGGAAAGTAAGGAAAGTAAAGGAAAGAAAGGGAAGGGAAGGAGAAGGGAAAGGAAAGTATGGAAAGGAAAGGAAAGGAAAGGAAAGGAAAGGAAAGGAAAGGAAAGGAAAGGAAAGGAAAGGAAAGGAAAGGGAAGGGAAGGGAAGGGAAGGGAAGGGAAGATAAGATTTTATTTTGTGTATATTTGAATGCCAGCTTAAATTGAAAAGCCATTTCGAATAAAAGCTATAATGAAATTAGAACCCAAGTAAATAGTTCTTTTAATAATAACTTCTCTCTCTCTCTTCTTCTCTCTTTCACTCTCACCCACCTATAAATATATAAATCTGTCCGCTATTACAGCCATTCTGCCAGAAAGAAGATGAATTATGCAATGAGAATACACAGCCTCCTGGTGGCATAATTTTCATCTATTTGTTCAAGATAAACTTGGCGGGGGTGGGTGGGTGGGTGGGGAGAGATTTGCTTCGAAAACAAAACCCTCCCACGTAACCTTGACTCCTAAAAGGTCTTCATTTATCAAGCAAAACATGTTTCAAGAACCACCTCGAACAGGCTGGTGTTTCCAGAAAAGCAAATAAGAATATTTCTCAACTGAGTACAGTCAATAAAATCGTCATTCATTTCAGAGAGGTCTTTTATCCTAAGGATAAATTTAAAAAAAAAAAAAACTGGTCCTGGGAATCCTACAGCTGGAAGACTACCTTGGGCAGGAGACAATGGACCCTAAAGGAGGGTTTGTGATTATTTTATTGATTTATTGATTCAATGTACAGCCTGCTTTTCAGCTCAGGAAGGACACACGAAGCAACTAATACAACTTTCTTTAAAAATACAAAAAAACCAACAACCCAAGGCCAAATGTTCCAAGCATAAAATTTAATATTCAGCTCCATTTGCCATTAAAAGCTCGTCGAAGGAAATGCATCTTTAGGGGATGCCCTGAATACAGGTACTCTTGTAATAAAATACAGGCAGAATAGTCAAGACCTTGTTGATGATCCAAGCTCTGTAAAGGACTTTGGAGTACTCATCTCTAATGATCTAAGTGCTAGAGCCCACTGTAACTACATAGCCAAAAGGGCATTAAGAGTTGTTAACCTAATCCTACGTAGCTTTTTCTCTGGTAATATTACACTACTAACCAGAGCATACAAAACATTTGCTTGACCAATACTCGAATACAGCTCATCAGTCTGGAACCCACATTACGTATCTGATATTAACACAGTTGAGAAAGTCCAGAAATATTTCACAAGAAGAGTTCTCCACTCCTCCACTCGTTGCAGAATACCTTATGCCACCAGACTCGAAATTCTAGACCTAGTAAACCTTGAATTATGCCATCTTCGGTCTGATCTAAGTATGGTATATAAAATCATACATTGCAATGACTTACCTGTCAATGAATACTTCAGCTTCAACCATAACAACACAAGAGCACACAATAGACACAAACTCAAGGTTAATCACACCAAACTTGATTGCAGGAAATACGACTTCAGCAACAGAGTGGTCAATGTCTGGAATACTCTACCTGACTCTGTGGTTTCTTCCCCAAACCCCAAAAACTGTCTACTATTGACCTCACCCCTTTCCTAAGAGGTCTGTAAGGGGCGTGCATAAGCGCACCAACATGCCTACTGTCCCTGTCCTATTGTTTCTTTTATTTTATTTTATTTTTTCTTATATGTATCCATGTATTCATAACTATGTTTTTACTTATACCTATTATCTTGTAAGCAATTGACAAAAATAAATAAATAAAATCAAATAAATAAAAATAAATATGACCAGGGGTGGGTTTCAAAAATTCCAGCAACTGTTTCGCTGCCCGGTTGCTGGGTGGGCGTGGCCATGGTGGGCGTGGCCTAGTGGAACTTCCGGTAGGGCCGTTTTTCGACTTTCCCAGAGTCTGAAGGTTTCCCTCAGGCCTCTAGGAGGGAGAAAATGGCCTTCCCTGAGCTCTGGAGGCCCTCCAGAAAGCAGAAATGGGCCCGTTTCCTGACTTCCAGTACTTCTGATAGCGCCATTTTCCCCGTTCCAGACCCTGCACTTACCTGCATTGAAAATGGGCTGCGTGGAGATTCCTGGGAGGGGAGGGGACGGTCCAGCCAGTCAATTCAAATACCGGTTTGGCGAACCAAATGGAAATTCAACATCCGGTTCACCCGAACTGGTCCAAACCGGTAGAATCCCACCCCTGGTTATGACCACAATTGAACCCAGAATTTATGTTGCTAAATTGAGTGAGCTTGTTTGTACCCTGTGCCAGTTCACACCTATCTTTCACTCTAGGGTTGTTGTTTTTTTGCACGCTGGGCAAATGGACGCCCCTTCAGAGCCCATCATGCTGCATTTCTCCAAGATGGGATCTAACCGAGAGGCAGAAAGAGAACCTGCCAAGTTTTCCAGACTCAATATTTTCTGTGGAAAATTGTCTGCTTTCAGGCTTGTTTGGCAGTTTCAAAGTTGTATCGTGTGTCTGACGGTTTTATTACCTATGGACCTAAATTGTTTCCAACATTCCAGCGAAAATATGTGTGTGTGGGGTTTCTCCACACATTACAGAGTTTAGTATCTTTGGCTTAATTGCTTCAAGGCTCACAAAACAGGCTGGGGTTTGGGTTTTCCTTACATAAAACAACAGAGTCCAAATACTTCTGCAGACTAAGGACACTGCAATCAATATGCAAACTGGAACTGTACCTATTTGCGGAGAAATATTTTCCAGTTCAATGCTTTCAGAATGAAATAGAATGGAATAGAAAAGGAGAGGAGAGAGTAGAGTAGAGTAGAGTAGAGTGGGATGCAGAATTTAGAGAGTAGAGTTGAGCAGAATGCAGAATTTAGACAATAGGGTAGAGTTGAGTTGAGCAGAGTAGAATAGAATGCAGAATTTAGAGAATAGAGTACGGCAGAGTAAGGTAGAGTAGAGTAGAATAGAATAGAGTTGAATAGAATAGAACGCAGAATAGAGTAGGGTAGGGTAGGGTAGGGTAGGGTAGAGTAGAATAGAATAGAATAGAATAGAATAGAATAGAATAGAATAGAATAGAATAGAAT